CACCCACAGAATAAAAAATTGACATATGAGATTTGTTTACAAAGAGACTTTGTAGGAATGTCGGAAGAATTACGTTTTCTTTAGTCAAACACTGGGGGATAACTGTAGATAAATATTCCTTTCACATGCCTTCACTCTGTATATAGCAGTTCATGACCCTTGTGAGTTTAGTGCTTCTTTTTTATTATGATTAAAGTAATAATAACTTGTGAGAATAATAACATAATAACTTGTAATAATAATAATAATAATAATAATAATAATAATAATAATAATAATAATAATAATAATAATAATAATAATAATAATAATTTGTCAGAGCATCATTCCTTCTAAAAATTACATGAGAATGGAAGTGTTGGCCTTTATTTACTCTACTGTACCATTGAGGAGACAACTTGTACACAATGTAAGGTGTTTGTATGAATGTGTATGAACCATAACCAGACACATTGTCTGTTTGTTTACGTAGTGGGTGGGGTGGCCAGGCTGGCTTCCCAACACTACCCTACCTACCACACTACTTTCTACAAATAAATACTTTTCACCTTCCACCCTACATTAGGACTACAAATATTTTAAGATAAGTAATGAGTGTACTGTATATGCATTTTATCACTCTATGGAGCTTTAACCCTTAAACTGTCCAGGCCCGGTGGCCTGGTGGCTAAAACTCCCGCTTCACACACGGAGGGCCCGGGTTCGATTCCCGGCGGGTGGAAACATTTCGACACGTTTCCTTACACCTGTTGTCCTGTTCACCTAGCAGCAAATAGGTACCTGGGTGTTAGTCGACTGGTGTGGGTCGCATCCTGGGGGACAAGATTAAGGACCCCAATGGAAATAAGTTAGACAGTCCTCGATGACGCACTGACTTTCTTGGGTTATCCTGGGTGGCTAGCCCTCCGGGGTTAAAAATCCGAACGAAATCTTATCTTATCTTATCTTATCTTATCAGATCTACGTTCACATGCGTAGTGCTCCAAAAGTAGATCTATGTTTTTTTTACATATTTTCAAATATAACAAAAAAAAATGTAGATCAAAGTTTTTTTTACACTTTTTCAAATGTAAAAAAAGAAAAGAAGATCTACTTTTTTACATACTTTCAAATGTTGAAAAAACGTAGATCTACGTTTGGACAGTTTAAGGGTTAAGCATCATCATAGTATATTATATGTGGGTGGGGTGGCCAGGAGGGCTACCTCACCTAACTTCTTAGAGTAAATACTACTCACCTTTTGCCCTACATTAAGACTACTAATATTTTGAGGTAAATAATGAGTGTACTGTGTGTGTATTTTACTTTTTTATTGTTTTAATGCCTAATTCTATTGCTAACTTAATATATGGCATTTATATGCATTTATAAGTGGAAAAATATGGCGTTCTGCTTTCTGGTGATGTCTGCTTTCCAGCAGTAGCCTGGAACCTAACCTGCCGTATAAGAGGGGCCCTACTGTATTTCCTTCTTCACGTCTATGGTGTTTCTAACTTACTTTACCACAGGGGTACCACTAGCAAGTTTCTTTGGGCCCATGGTAGCTTATTTCACAGTCGCACAAGCACTAAACACGATGAATTAATAGTGAAATGTTTGAATGAACGTGCAGGTTAGTGTTCACTCAAGCATCAACAAAGCCAGACTACTTATGATGCCTGTGTGGGGATGCGGACAGAGCGGGCTGGTGACAGGTCCGGTACCCGGCAGTTTGAAAGACCGGTAGAGTTCGATACTCAGAACAAAATTGGTTCGAAAAAAGCGGTCGAAACTTGAAAAGTTCGATAATCAGTACGTTCGAAATTCGAGGGCCCACTGTATGATAATTTCTTCAAAATTATATAAGAAACACATTACATAGCATATAAATATGCAATGTTTATATGTTATTGAGTGGTGAGCACCGGCGAATCGAGGGAGGAGGGTGAAAGGTAAGCATTACGTTTTCTCTGATGCAGCATTAGAGAAAACTGAGTCTGGCGTCTGGTGCAGTAACCGCCCTTCGTACTTGTTTGTTTACAATTCTCGGCATGAATTATTCATTATTTCTCCCTTTGTTTATGATGGCATCTAAAGGTAGTTGTTAGAAATGATTAAACAGAGTGAACATGGTATATTGATGTAATAATATGGCTGTGTAGTGTAATAATATGGCTGTGAAGTGTAGCCCAGGGGGGCTACATACGTGCACCTACATCAACAGGCTACCTACACTGAATTTCTACAAATAAATACTACTCACCTCTCGCCCTACATTAAGACTACAAATATTTTAAGGTAAGTAATAAATATACTGTAGCAGCAAAAGACAAAGAAGGGAAATAACACTAGAGAGGGCTTTGATACCTGAAGTCCTTATGGAGTGGGATTCCCAACTCCCTGGAACGGATTAATTGTATTTACATTAATTCTTATGGGAAATATTGCTTCGGCTTTAGGATGTTTCGACTTCAGTCCATGCTCCTGGAACAGATTAAGGACAAAACTCGGGGTTCCACTGTATTTAAGGCTCTGTTTCCTAACAGCATGTAATAGACATTGTCTGTATTAAGAGTGAGTTTGTTGGTCATCATCCACTTAAATATTTTTAGTAGCTTATTGTTAACAGTGTCACTAAGCATAGTTGGGTTTGTGTGGGAGAAGACATAATTAGTGTCATCTGCAAACAGATCATTGATGTAAATAAGAAAGAGCTTAGGGCCAAGGACACTGCCCTGTGGCACTCCAACAGCTACAGGCTGGGTAGACAAGGTTACACCGTTTGTGGAGATGTACTGGTGTCTATTGCTATGATTTTAGGTATTGAAAGGTATGTCCTCTGACCCCATAATGTTCTAGTTTAAGGAGCAAGATATTGTGGTTCACTGTATCGAATGCTTTTTGCAGGTCTGTGAAGATCCCCAGAGAGTATTAATTTTTTTTTTTCAAGAGCTGCATATAGCAGTTCAAGCATTTGTATAATTGCATCATTTGTACTTTTTTTTTGGCCTATACCCAAGCTGGCAGGGGTTAAGTATGTTGTGAGTTATTAGGTAGGAGTAAACTCGCTTATGAATTATTTTTTCAGAGATTTTTGATAATAAGGGCAAGCTTGATGTAGGCCTATAATTCATTTCAATTGGATTACCTCCTTTGTGAATTGGGGTAACCCTTGCTATCTTAAGTATGGAAGGGAAAGTTGAAGATTCCATTGATCTGTTAGTTGCAATAATGGGAGACAGCACATGTGCTTCTTTTTTTTGTACATGAGTGGTAGCAAGTTATTTAGGTATTTTTCTTGTTTTTAAGTGACTTTATGATCAGTGAGACTGGTAGGATTAGTAGCAGCTAGATATAGGTATTTGGGTAATTTCCAGTGAGGTAGTCTTTTGCCTGTGTATTTGAGGTTGGGATTTTGCTTGCTAGTTTTGATCCTATAGTATAGAAGAGGATATTAAGTTTGTTGGCATTGTCTGCAGGCTGGATGTCTGGTTTATCTGGTTTAGCTAAGTTTATATCTCTGTTGCTGGACAGTTCTCTAGAGCCCCGGATTTCAGAGAGGGTTTTCCAGGTCTTTTTTCATATCCCCTTTTATTTCATTAAGTCTTCTTGCACAATACAGTTGTTAAGACTTCCATATTAGGTTAGTAACTTGATGTGTATTGTTTAAAAAAAAAAACATACTACGGGTGGGGATAGATCCTGCGATCAGAGAGTCTCAAAACTCCAGACCGTCGTGTTAGCACTGGGCCAGCTAGCCACAATAAGATTTATCCAACTAGGTATATTTCTTCACCATAGGAAGGTTAGCATAGGCACCACTGTGACCACAAATGCAAGTTTTTACAGACAAATCTCCAGCTAGCGTGACCGTGACGAACTCTAGCTCAAGTCCCCTCAAAGCCGTGGTATGATTTGTTTGCAATTGTGTCATTACGATTTCGTGAGTCAAGTTGTGTGTTGTTTTGTCTGTTTTGTTATTAAACCCAGTTTGGACTGTTTTTAATATTGGTGTTTTTTATCAATGGATTTGAGGATATTGTTTGTAAGCTATGGGCTGTTTAGTCTCTTAGCTGTGATTTACTTAATTTTAATTGGACAATGCCTGTTATAGAGGTTTTGGGTTTTATGAAGAAAAATTTTGACACATTCATCAGTATCATGATTGTTGCCTAGCTCTCTGTGCTAGTCAGTGTCACTGCTGAAAAAGTTATTTACTGATGACTCGTCACGTAGTCAAAATGAGATCTTTCTAGTGTCTTGAGGCAATTTACACAAGTTGGTTATGAGGAAGGTAGGGTAGTGGTCAGTGGTGTTATTTGTGATTATCCCAGCTTTTAGTAGGAATGTAGGATTGGTCCAGACGTCCTCAAATAATGAGGCACTTGTCTTGGAGATTTTTGTTGGCTTAGTTATAGATGGTAGTAGCAGTCATGCATTTATAATTCTAAGCCATTTGCATATGCAGTTATTTTTTTAATTATTGAGATGGGCAAGACTAGGCAGTTGTTAATATTATTTAACTGTTTCAAACAAAGTAATTGAATGAAAATTAAAATTTGTTGTTAAGGTGTCCCGTAGCTCGATTGCTAGTGCAGTCAGCTCACACACTGAGGTCCTGGAATCAATCCTCTGGTACGGCTGGAAAACATTAGGATGTGTTTCCATAAGACACCTGCTGTCCCTGCTCACCCATTAATGTAAAATGGGTACCTGGGAGTAAGTGGACTGGTGTGGGTCACATCCTGAGACAAAATTGACCTAATTTGCCCAAAATGTTCTGCAGACAAGGCATGGTCACAGACCAGGCTGCAGGGGCATTGACTCCTGAAACCCTCTCCAGGTATAACAAGGGGCTTTCTGTATAGTAGTATGTCATTGATGTCAGCTAGGCCTGTATACCTTGTACATGTACCTGTAGAAATAAAGATGTTATTATTAATTATTAATGGTGAAGATTATGTATTTGGGATTTTGGCTTTTTTTGTGCCTAACTTTCGTTTTTCATTTGTGTGTGGCAGGTGTTGGAGGCATGGCTGATCCAATGTTTGTAGCCCAGCGCAGTAACAACCAGCTGGCTCTCAACATTAGTGATGTCAGTAAGTATCTTCAGTGTTTTGTGAAACTCTTAATGACTTCTCCATACTCTTGCTTCCCTCGTTCTTTGTTTCCCTTCTTCCCTCCTTGTTTGTTTCTCTCTTTGCTTGCTTCCTGCCTTCCTGGTTTTCCTCCTTTGTTTCCCCCCTTCCTTGTTTCCCTCCTTCCTTATTTCCCTCCTTCCTTGCTTCCCTCCTTCCTTGTTACCCTCCATCCTCATTTCCCTCCTTCCTTGCTTTCCTTCTTCCTTGTTTCCCTCCTTGCTTGCTTCCCTCCTTGCTTGTTTCCCTCCTTCCTTGTTTCCCTCCTTCCCTGTTTCCTTCCGTATTTCCCTCATTGCTTCCCTCCTTCCTTGTTTCCTTCATTCCTTTTTTTCCTCTTTACTTTCCCTTCTGTTCTTTCCCTCTTTTTTTCTCTCTCTCCTTCCCTCATTCTTTCTTTCTCTTTCCTTGCTTCCCCCCTTCCACCTCTTTCTTTCCACCTCTCACATTCATGCTTCCTTCTTCCTCACATTCTTGCTTCTCTCCTACATTCTTACTTCCCTCCTCCCCATATTATTGCTTCTCTCCTTCCCATATTCTTACTTTTCTCCTCCCACATTCTTGCTTCTCTCCTCCCACATTCTTCCCTTTTTTCCTATATTTCTTTTAACATTTACTTTTTTCCATTTTATATATGACAGGATTTAAACTAGTTAATTGGTTTTGCTTAAGTAATGTATACTATTTTTGTTAACTACAGTGGACCTTCTCTTTTCATAACTACAGTGGACCTTCTCTTTTCGTCTTAATTCGTTCCAGAGAGTCTGACGAAATGTGAAATCGACTAAAACTGAAACCATTTTCCCATAAGAAATAATGTAAATCTAATTAATTTGTTCCAGCCACCCAGAAGTATTAACAAAAAAATATTTTTTATACATTAACCCTTTCAGGGTCGAGAGGCCCTCTCCTAAACTTGTTCTCAGGGTCGAAAATTTTTCGATCATAATGACACCAAAAGTATGAAATTTGATGGAAAACTTAGGGAATTATGCTCTCGCGAAGTTAGTGGTCTTGACGATGTTTACGCATCGGCGATTTCGCTGACTTTGAGCCCTATTTTCAGCCAATTCCAGTGTACTAGTTGACAGACATCATAACTATTTCACTAGAACTCCATTTTTTCTATCGAATGAGTACAAGAAACCACCCATTTACTGTTTTCAATTATCCAATAAAGTGGTCAGAAATTAGCAATTTTGCCAATTTCACACAAATTTCAAAAGATGCCAGTTTCCAAATAGGGTCCAGAATAAACAAGACAGACATTCCTGGCACTAAAATAACATTTCCTCTGTTCATTAGTCACGTCCCCACGCCCCTCTTACATTTCATTTGCTTTCCACTTTGAATTTTTATTCTCACAAAAAATAGAAGATTTACTGTTATGCAGACTACTACATTAGTGTAGAAATGGTATAAATAATATCAGTGCACTTGTGAAAGAATATTAGACTCACTAGTTGATGTGTATTGGGCACATGGCATGATTTGTTTACTTTTGAACTTTGGCAAAAATCGAACATTTCTGCTACTTTGAGCTCAATTTCAAGGTACTTTTCATTGTGAAACGAATCAAAATCATCTCAGTGTCTGTAATATGTCTTCCATTCTATAAAATGAGACCAGGAAAACTGGAATACAACCATAAATACCATACGAAAATACAGCGCAAAGTCGCTGTTTTAAACCAAAAGCACGGTGAAAGTTTTTTGTTTCACATTATGCACTGTGTGCTGCAGGATTTTTTTTTATACTGTGCACACTGACCACATAGACCCATTCTTTCATATGTAGGCCTACCAGCTTTCTCTCGCTAGATTTGAAGGCGCTAGAATTTAGGCATGCTAGTACGTCAATAACCCTGGTGCGTAAGCCGTACTAGTATGTCGGAAACCCTGAAAGAGTTAAATATAGATTTACATACATAAAAGAATGAGAAATCAAGTATAAAACAAAATAACACGACACTTACCTTTATTGAAGACTCTTGGTGTATGGTAGACAGGGAGGAGGGGAGAGGAAGGAGAAGTCACTATTGATTGGAAGGGGAATCCCCTTCCATAAAGACTTTTAGGTAACAAGTCCTTTGTTTTTTAATGGCACCAGGGCCAGCTTGAGTCACTGGACCCCTGTCGCACAAAAAATTGTTCCAGAGAGCTCTGTTTCTGGTGTCTCCTTAAAACTTGCCTAAAATGGGACATGGCATTGTCATTGTACATGTTGCCAACACGACTTGCAACAGCTTTGTTAGGCTGATGCTCCTCCACAAATGTTTGCACCCTTTTCCACATTACACAAATCTCCTTAATCTCTGAAGAAGGCACTTTCTTCTCTCTCTCTTCCTCCTCCTCTGAAGCATTTTCCTCAGCTGTGCTCTGTTGCTGTTGCAGATGAAACTCTTGCAGCTCTTCAGTGTTTTGCTCTTCACTGTGGTCCTCCACCAACTCTTCCATATCCTGGCCACTCACATCCAACCACAATGAGTTCCCCAATGCCACAATACATTCTACAATAGGTGTAAGGTTGATAGGGTCAGCCCCAAACCCTTCAAAATCCCTCTCTTGGACACATTCTGGCACAATTTTCTCCAAGCAGAGTTCATCGTCCTGGAAATCACTCCCTGCCAAGCCTTATCTATAAGGCTTATGCAGTTGAGGATGTTGAAGTGATCTTTCCAGAACTCTCTTAGGGTCAGTTGAGTGTCTGAGGTCATATCAAAGCACTTTTGAGACATTGCTTTGGTGTAGTGTCTTTTGAAGTTTGAAATGATCTGCTGGTCTATGGGCTGGGTGAGAGGAGTGGTATTTGGGGGCCAGAACTTCACTGTGATGAAATTAAACTCCTCCACCATTTGGCCATTGAGGTTTGGAGGATGAGCAGGAGCATTGTCCATTACCAGGAGGCACTTGAGTGGCAATTTATTTTCCAGGAGGTATTTCTTCACACTCGGTCCAAACACGTCATTCAACCAGTCAGTGAAAATTTCCCTTGTGACCCATGCCGTACTGTTAGCCTTCCACATTACACACAGTTTACTCTTGGCGACACTGTTTCTTGAACACTGGGATTTTCAGATTGATACACCAGTAAAAGCTTCACTTTTAAATGCCCACTAGCATTACCACAGAACAAGAGAGTCAGCCTGTCTTTCATGGGCTTGTGTCCTGGCAGTGCCTGTTCCTCCTGTGTGATGTATATCCTCTTTGGCATTTTCTTCCAAAAGAGGCCTGTTTTGTCACAATTGAACACTTGTTGGGGGACAAATCTTTCAGCCTCTATGTACTCTTTGAATTCATGCACAAATTTTTCAGCCACATGTTTATCTGAACTTGCTGGCTCACTATGCCTTACGACACTGTGTATGCCACCATGCTTCTTGAATTTCTCGAATTGGCCTTTGCTGACCTTAAATTCACTAACATCAGCACTTGTTCGAGGCATTTTCTTTACGAGATCGGCATGCCTTGCCTTTTTGCAAATTATCAACTGCACAGTACTATCTCCCATTAATTGTTTCTCGTTGATCCACACCAACAACAATTTCTCAACATCTTCCAGTGTTTGTGATCTCTGTTTTGTTATCACTTTTACCCCTTTCGCAACATCAGCTTCCTTGATTTTGCTTTTCTTCGCTACGATGGAACTGATGGTTGATACAGGCTTGCTGTACATCCTGACAATGTCGATCACATGTAAGTCATGTTCATATTTTTCAATGATTTCTTTCTTTAATTCTATCATGATTCTCACCTTCTTTACCAAAGGACTGGCACTAGCAGCTTTGTTTGGGCTCATGGTGGCTTATTTAGCAGTCACACAGAATAAACAAGTGCAAGAAACAATGAATTATTACGAAATAATCCCTATGAGCTCACAGGGGTAATGTTTGCTCAACCATAAACAAAGCGACACTGCCTCCTCGGAATGCGGGTTTGGGAGGTTGTGTGCACGGCACACTCAGACATGTACCGTACCACCGACGAGAATGGAGGAGAGCAACGAATACTGAGCCAATAATTATACAGAAAAAATCGGCAATAACTGAAATGGGCGAAAACAGAGCCCAATGAAAAGGGAGGGTCCACTGTAGTTTATAAAGAAGTGCAAAGTACCACTAGCACAAGCCCTCAGAATTCTTTGGAGAAAAAGCCTAGATCTAGAGTGCAGACATAGCTCCTTTGCATAAGGAATGTAGCAGAGCACTACCTAAAAATTACCGACCAGTAGCCCTAACTTCGCACATCATAAAAATTCTTGAAAGAGTGATGAGACAACAGATTACAAATTTCATGGAGCAGCACAACCAACATAACCCGAAGCAGCATGGTTTTAGAGCAAGACGATCATGCCTGTCACAGCTGCCGAACCATTATGACAGAATTATGGAGGCATTGGAAGATGACCAAAATGCAGATGTGATTTACACAGATTTTGCAAAGGTGTTTGACAAATGCGATCATGGAGTGATAGCGCACAAAATGAAGGCCATGGCATTACGGGGAAGGTAGGCAGATGGATTTTCGGCTTCCTAACACACAAACACAAAAAGTAGTAGTGAACAGGGCAAGATCCAGCATCAGTGAGGTCAAAAGCTCAATGCCAAGGCACTGTCCTGGCACCTCTGCTGTTTCTCATTCTCATAGCAGACATAGACAAAAACACCCGGCACACTTTTGTATCATCATTTGCAGATGACACTAAAATAAGCATGAAAGTCAGTACTGTAGAGGACACTGAAAAAGTACAGGAAGACATAAACAGGGTTTTCTAGTGGGCAGTGGAGAACAACATGATGTTCAATGGTGATAAGTTCCAGCTGCTTAGGTATGGAAAGAATGAAGAACTCAAAAGGAACACTATATACAAAACTCAAGAGGGCCACCAAATAGAATGTAAGGAACACGTAAAAGACCTGGGAATAATTATGTCAGCGGACCTTTCTTTTAAAGACCATAACA